CATGTGCGTACGTGCTACAGCCTACACTACAAGCTAGAACACATGGCGCCATTTAATTCCTAGGAGATCGAGGAAATGTTTCATGCATGCTGTGAAAAAAGTAGGAAGCATACTTTGATATTACCGACATAAACAAATTTCCATCCTGCAAGACCAGCACGAACGGATAAGTCCATGTCTTCCACCGTTGTTCGATCATTCCATCCTCCGGCATCGTGTATTGCCGATATCCGCCATACTCCAGCAGTCCCTACAAAAAGATTGTTCCTTTTATAGCAGAGCACAACTAAAAGTTACTTTTGCGAGATAAGCACTACAAAAACTTTAGATGCGTGCGTGCTAAAGATTTACCATTGAAACCGAAAAAGGCAAAAGTAGATGACCCTGCTTCTTGCTCCACCTTGAAGTGGTAATCCAGTGACATCTCCTGAATTCTTGTTATCAGGCACTCATTAGCATTCACTACATACAAAAAGAGTGACAAATGTTATAAAGAAACTTTAAGTTTGCAGTCATATGATGGGTTAGTGAGAATAAAAAAAGCGGTTAGTGAGAATAAATACAAGGCTTATGAAAACTTCTATAAGAAGTTAGAATCTAAGGAGGGAAACAAAGATATATATAAGTTTGCTAAGATTAGAGAAAGGAAGAGTGGAGATTTGGGTAATATTAGATGTATTAAAAGCGAAGATCAAAGAGTTCTAGTGACCAACGGGGAAATACAAGAGATGTGAAGGAGTTACTTTCATCAATTGCTTAATGACAACTAAACAAGTAAGCAAAATAGATAATTTGACCATATAGTGAATGATAGGAACTATATATATTGTCTAAAAATTAGGATTAGCAAAGTTAAATATGCTCTAATTAAAGAAAATAAAAAAACGAAAGAGTCATAGGACCGGACAATGTCCATATTAAAGTTTGGAGATGTCTTGGAGATACAGGCTTAGGATGGTTAACTAAATTATTTAATAAGATTATTGAGACAAAGAGAATGTTTGATGAGTGGAGAATTAGTACTTTGATACAGATATATAAGAATAAATGAGACATACAAAATTGTTCAAATTATCATGACATAAAACTTAATTATGAGTTATGCTATGAAACTTTAGGAGAGGGTAATTGAGCAAAAACTAAAAAAGGAGACAAGTATATCTAAAAATCAATTTGGTTTTATGCTCGGAAAGTCAATTATAAAACCTTTACATATTTTAAAACGATTGATGGAGAGATATAGAGAGAAGAGAAAGAATATACATATGATTTTCATTGATCTAGAAAAAGCTTATGATAGAGTGGATAGAGAGATAATATGGTAGATTTTAGAAAAGAAATATATATCTAGTTTATATTATTGATATGATTAAAGATATTTACGATAGAGAAACAATTAGAGTACGAACTAATGAAGAAGAGACTAAGTCATTTCATATCACCATAGGTTTACATTAAGGGTCAGTCTTGTTTGCGTCGAAAGTTAGTTTATTTGTCAAATCCATTACACGTTTATTGATTACACTAAATTCAAAAGAGTTAATATTTTTATAAGATTACTCACTTACACAAATAAAATAAAAATTACAACTCTCTTCAAACACACGCAGATGACGTTTATCACCCGCTACTAGCGTGTGATCTTTACCTGTGCCGGGGACGCGTTAGTCCGTGGACCACCGCGGATCAGATCCGGTTGACAGAACAAAATTTTGATGCTCTTGCTTCACAAAAGAAACAATCGCAGAAGTAAATAATATCAACAAAGTGAGATTACTACTATTCTCGAGATCAAAGCAAAGTCTGATCTCAAGGAATGATGAAACGGGTCTTAGATCTTTCGAATAGCTCCCTCTTTATGCTAGAGTTTGCCAAGATCTGCTAGCCCTCCTCTGAAATTCGTGGTTCACTCTTCACAGAGACAGAGCCTTACCTAAATTTTAGATCCTCTGCGTATAGGACCCTAGTCTTGTATTTATAGGCTTTAGTTATGGTGTTTTTAGATAAGAACAAGTGATTTGGCCTCATCTTTAGATAATAATGATCTAACTATATTTAGGGATGATATCCAAGTAGTTGGTGTTGCGCGCAGCGGAAATTTCGGCAGCACTTCGGCAGCACAACAAGAGTTAGGTCGCTATAAGAATTCTTGTTTCTCAAAGGGAACAAGAATCTGAAGCCTAATATCTCATCAAAGTGAGATATTAGCTCTTCCTCTCGTCAGCTCTAGGACTGCGCGTCGAGGGAACCTAAAAGCTATTACAAATCACACAAATAGCAGTACAACTAATTTTTACGTGGTTCGGCAAATTGCCTACGTCCACGGGGCAAGGAGGGGGGAGATCTACTAATAGAGGGAGAGAATACAACTAGGGTTTACAATCACTCTCAATCTAAACCCTCAAACAAACTCTCAAATCCCTCACAATATCTCTCTACAAAATAGGAGCACAAAACCCTAGAACAGCTACACAAAACTCAAGAGGAAAACCTCTGCTTTTCTTTTGCATACAGTAGCCGCCAAAGAACCCTGCCGCCAAAGAAAACAATTCCCCTTGCACAAACCCTTTTGCTGCAGCCGCCAATCCGTGCTCACCTCCTTCACACTTGCACCGAAACCAAGAGATCACAACATTGTTATTTATATAACAAATATTGGGTGGGCCGGCCTTGCTGTGTTTTCGCGTGGGCTTGTGCTTCATGCGGTTTGAAACCGCGTTCCCCTAACTCACGTGACCACAGTTGGGAGGCTCTGAAACGAACAAATCCCGAGAAAACATCGAAATACACGTTTTCGGTATTTCTGGGCGCGAGCCACCTTATGGTGACTCAGCAATGTACGAGCCACCCTATGGTGGCTCAGCCTTGGCCGGGCCACTTGGCCTTGGCCGAGTCGTTTTGATGTGACTCAGCTGCCAGGGGCTTCTTCGGATTTTCTGGTTTGGTCTTGTTCTGTCGCTTTGCGCATTTCTTCATTTTGTTGACTCGTACGCTTTATTGACTTGATTCGTGCACTCGTTAGCTCTTTTACGACACCGAATAATCTCATTTGACTCAGGTGATGACGTTTATCATGCTTGCTTCGTCTCAAAGTGGCTAGCATGAATGTGAGTCACCTTGAAGTGGCTAGCATGAATGTGAGTCACCTTGAAGTGGCTAGCATGAATGCGGGTCACGTCGATTAGCATGAGTGTGAATCACCTTGAAGTGTCTAGCATGAATGTGGGTCACGTCGAGGTGGCTAGCATGAGTGTGCGTCGCCTTGAGGTGGCTGAGGTGGCTAGCATGAGTGCGGATCACGTCGAGGTGGCTAGCATGAGTGGGAGTCACCTTGAAGTGGCTAGCATGAATGTGTGTCACCTTGAAGTGGCTAGCATGAGTGCAGGTCACGTCGAGGTGGCTTGCATGAGTGCGGGTCATGTTGAGGTGGCTAACATGAATGCAGGTCACGTCGAGGTGTCTAGCATGAATGCGGGTCACGTCGAGGTGGCTAGGTCTTTTTGATTTCCCAATTTTGGTCTTGTTTAGTCGTTTTGCACATGTTTCGATGTTTCTTTGACTTGTGCACTTTGCCGACTCGCTTCATGCGTTTGTTTGCTTCTCCATGGTAACAGATAATCCTCTTTTGACTCGGATAATGGCGTTCATCACCTTTTCTTTATTTTGAGCTGTGTGTGAAAACCTATAGGTAATTTTTTACGCTTACAAGTCTTAAGCCCTTATCATTTTGCATTGGTTATGGATCAACATACTGTTGAACTATTTAACCGTGATTAATTCAAAGAGAAGAATCACAAGAATAAGAGCAAAAACTATACATGAATTCATTGTATGGATTTGAATTAGGGTTTCGATGATCTTTTAATCTTGAGGGTCTCTCCTTAAGAATCTCTTTAGATGAGGATAAGAGAATAGAGAATGTTCTCGATTAGGGACCATAACCCCTATATATAGACTTGCAGTTTTCTAATTTAGCCCCTCCTTAATTAAAATTACAATCTGGTATCTGCACAATTAGCCCGTGACATATTTAAATATCCATTGACCCAATTATCTGATTGATCATTTTATACGGGTCATCTGCAAAGATAGCAACACACACCGATGTAACATATGTGCCCACAAATAGATTAATTAGATTTAAATCCAACACGTACTAGTACATTCAGGATGAAATTTCATTATGTATGTTATTTACAGATGATATATTATTAGTTGACGAAACTAAAAGATGTATAATTTTTAAAGTAGAAAGATAGAGACAAGCTCTTGAATCTAAAGGTTTTAGAATTAGTAGAACAATAATAAAATATATGGAGTGAAGTTTTAGTAAAACTAAGAAAAGAAAAGAGCCTATAATGCACATTGATGGTTAAAAAATACTTTAAAACAATTATTTTTGTTATATGGGATCAATCATTAGGCATGATGGTGAGATAGATGATGATCGATGTTGCACATCGAATCAAATTAGGTGGGTTAAAATGAAGGAGTGCATCGGGAGTCTTTGTGATTGCAAAATACCAATAAAACTAAAGGAAAAAAATTCTATAGGATGGTTAAAAGACCAACTATGATTTATAGGTTCGAGTGTTGGGAAATTAAAAAACAACATGTGCAAAAAATGAGTGTAGCAGAAATATGAATGTTGCGATGATATTATGGGTAGACATTAAAAGATAGGATAAGAAATGAGTGCATCTGTAGTAAATTAGAGGTTGCTCCTATTGAGGACAAAATGAGAGAGAATAGATAAAAATAGTTTAGTCATGTACAACAGAGACCTGTTAGTGCACCGGTTAAGAAAAGTTAATGGGGCTAGGAGATCTAGAGGTAGAACTAAAAGGACTTGATTGGAAACAGTTAGGGAAAATATGATTATGACTAACTTAACGGAGAAGATGACCCATAACAGAATGGAATAGAAGAATATAATTCATGTAGCCGACAATAAACATTTGAGATAAAAGCTTTATAGTTGTTATCATATGATGGGTTAGGAGCCATATGAAACACTTACCGAACTTCCAACGTGCTTGAACAAGAGCAATATTAGGGTTGTAGACGAGGAAAGGAACGGTTCGCAACAAAAAATCAGAATCAGGTTGGAAGTCGGCATCAAACATGGCAACATAATCACACTCGTCCACATAGTCCTTCTTCATCCCATCGTGTAGTGCTCCGGCTTTGTATCCCCTCCTGTTGTCTCTAACTACATAGTATATGTTCATGCCTTGGCTCCTCCATTTGTGGCACTCCATACTCACTGATTCCTTCAATTTTAGAATGAAAATAGTGAATGCAGAATGCTGAACATATATAGGAAACCATATAATTTTATGAAATTGACTTCTCAGGTTTTGTTTAACTTAACAACGTCAATGTTCCCAAAGACAATATATAGTTGACAGTTGACACTAGTTTTAGATTGATTGGCGGATGTCCATTATGGGCACAAACTTATGAAATTGGATTCTCTTTCCCGGTAAAAGAAGTAGAGACACCATTATTTTTAATCCTTGTCACTGAGTGTTTGACTCCACTTTCCATGTAGCTGTACCAAGTTATTTACAACTGACATAATAAGTAGTAGCTCATATAGTTCATAATAAATAATGTATAGATTGGTGCCTCGTTGTTGATCGAATATGGACGAAGTCAGCCCACGAGTATTTATGGCCTCTGGATGTCATTTATAAATTTTGCTAGACTTAATGATGGAGAGGAAAGTATAAGGGCTTGCTTGGCCACTCACCCACAAACTTGGAGAAGGACACTAACTGACTTGGATAAGAGTTTAAATTGTATTTGGCAAAAAATTGTACAAGATTGAATTAGTTTTTTAGTTCGAAAAAAAGGCTCTTATCTAGGTTATTTTTGAACCACCCCTACTTTGATTCAATCCTAATCCAGATAAGGCCTTAACCGGATTAGTGTGAAGTGCCAAACACACCCTGAGTTTCTTAATTTGATAGACTTCAATGGTACTGTCATACAATAAGAAGAACAGAATATGGTACTAAACTATTTTATATGAGGTGACAAGGTGGTCACAGCCCCAAATACAAACCTGTAACATTCCCTGCAAGCATGTGCTCTGCCACAGTTTGCAAGTCCCTCTTGTGTTATCAAAGTATTATTTACAAAATTAAGTAGAAAAAAGAAATAACTACTTGCTGACTTTCTACAAAGTGGACTCGTGCACCCTAAAGCCTAATTACAACGGATTAGTGGAAGTTGTCTGGGAAAGAAGAGGAGTGACGATCATGCGTGGGCTAATAATTAGCCAAGGGTTGCAAACACTCACTTAGACTTACTAGGCTTAATCTATTTGGATCCTAAATGACTGAAAAGGATTAGCACTAATTAACCGAATCGCGAAAAGCAGTATATTTTGCCATATATTATTCTAATGAGTTGATGTATCAAACCCATCCGTTTGATTTGAATTAATGAATCCAGGATGCTCATAACAAGTTCGCATGATAAAGCGTTCATCATCTTACTGTAAATAGAGAGTAGTCATCTGTCAATTCTTAATTTATCTTACAGTTCGGATGCACATACAACTAATTCAGGCACTGAATAATTTCAAAAAGTGGTCATCGAACTTTTAATTTCACCATTGACTCGCATGCGGTTGAAGAAAACAAGGAAAACAAAAAAGGGGAAACATAACGCCATGGGGGGAGTGCGACGTATAACAACAGACGAAAAAAATGTAATTCTGTCAAAGTTGGCGTTTTGCATATGACGTCGTACGTGAATTAATGAATAATGTAGCTGTGAACTGCACGTTTTATTGTTTGAGTGAGTGTAGCCACGAAAGACACATGAGGTAGCTAGCTAGGAATTGGACAAGTCGATCGAGGGACCAATGAGGAGCGAGCTCCAACTCGATTTAATTACCTGTCGACCATCTAGTTAATATATACTAGCTAGCGCTACATTCCATTCACTTGCCAGTCTGGCAGCAGCACGAACACGCACAGGTCTCGGTTTGAATCTAAATCTCTGATAATAACAAAAGGGTGCATATGACTTTTTCTGATGCTGTTTCCCACATGCATGCCCATGACATCATTTCTCCATCTATTGATTAAATCCCTCTCTCTTCACACATGACACGTTACAAGTGACCCTCCTCCACCTTTTTTTTCTTTTCTTTTCTTTTCTTTTGTGTGTGTGTGTGCATGTTTGCTATATCCACTCCCAAACAGTAATTTTGGGAGTTGGATTGCTGAAAATGCCCTTTTGATGTTGAGGGTGTTTCTGGAATGGACTTGGCCTGTTTTGGTTTGGGAGAAGGGCAATATTTTCTTTTTCATCATTTGAGGGGAACGTACGGTTGGCAATAATACATACATAAGAGGGTAACAAACTTTGTGTGGTTGTAAAGAGAGGGTGGACTTTTTGGATGCATACCCTCAAAGCAGCATCAGTAGAGTCATCCAACACTTGAATTATCAGCCTGTCCGTTGGCCAGTCCATCATGCATGCTGCCCCTATTGACAGCTTGTACACCTATAATTTGTACATATAACAATCATGCATGTTCATCACTCTCGATCGGTTAGTTAATAGCTAGAGATGTTGAGAAATTAGGAAATGAAATTTGCAATAATTAATTAATGCTGACCTCTTTCTCGTTGAACATGGGTATCTGGATGAGGACCTTAGGATAAGCCAGAGTGCCTAGCTCTACATCTGGCCTGATCGGCTCCCATCGATATCTCTTCTCCGGCTTCAGCCGAAAGGTCTTCACAATGAGGCTCACCATACCAAAACAAATCTTCTCCAATAAGATCATGAGAGTCATGACAAGGCACAAGAGGATGGCAATCCTCAACAGAGGAGCCACCACCATGGCTCTTGTTACTCTCCATAATGCTACTAGTGTCTGTGCGAGGCCATTGAAATCGATCCGATCCGAGACGAAAGACAGAATGGGAGAAAGAGATGGAATTGAATTGCCTGCATTAACTTTGGACAAATTAAGCTAGTTGTGTTCAATGAAAGGAGGAGGAGGAGGGAAAAAAAAAAAGGAAACGGAGAGATTGAGAGTTTTGAATATTTGTACCTGCAGTTGGGGTGCCAGATACACTGGCACCCATTAGCTCTCTCTCTCTCTATGAAGTGATCAGATTAAGCTTTTGTAGCGTCTCTCTCTCTCTCCCCCCTCTTTTATAGACTGCTCCTCATTTATATCATGATTTGCAGTTGCACCCTATACATCCTTCGATCGTGATCATCTTGAAGCTTCAATTCTCATTAGGAATGATATCTGTGGGCCCTTGAATAATGTGAGAAAACTCAAGGCCCACAAGAATTGGAGCCTCTCACCTCCCTACTCACAGATTGCTTCTTGTGCTTAATAGTGGTGGAGAAGCTCCATGAGATCGAATCCTTGCGTTTAAGTTTTTAAGGCAGAGGGAACAGTATGCGGTGTGCACTTCTTTTTTTAATTAGACCTGAGAAATTAATTACATGTTCGGTGGTTTATATAGTCCTAAAAGAAAAAGGAATTAGGGTATGTTTGTTTCAATTTAATCCTTGACATTCGTGGAAATTAAAAGTGGATCCACATCAAGAACCCTATAATAAAAAATCGATCTCAATCGAAATTTTACGTAAACTTTATCGAAGAATTTATTATTTGTCATGTCAGTAAATTCTTATGTCAAAAGTTTAGAAGAAAGGTGGATTCCACATTCAATTCAACCGAAATAGCAAGGACTTTTTTTTTTGGTTGCAAATTTAGCATTCTCAAGAATTAATTATGAATTGGTTAGAAATCCAGAACCAAAATTTTGGAATCCAACAAAATTACCATTAATAAGGAGAAGTTTCACATGCGTGAAGAAAGACACGTGGGCATGTTCCTTTCCTATCTAGCTCTCACATGCACATATTAGCGATCATGAAAAGATATATAACTTTATTGCTTACCTTCCTTGCTTTATATCTTCACATTGCAATTTCAAGTGAGGCAGGTACTAGACTGTGAAGGTAGAAGTTAATTGTTCTCCTTTTATTAATTAGTTGTCCCTTTAACCATTTGATCCACACGCAAAAATAATATTGCACTCAACCTGCCACTACTAGAGCGTGTTATATTCACTTTTTATTCCTTTGGTTTTTTCCACATGATTCACGTCTCCTACCTACTGCTTATCACCTTTTCGCCACGTGCTCTTTCTCTATTCTTTTGGTTATCCTTTCTCCAAAACAAAACAAAATTTTTTTTTATGGCCTTTACAAATAACTTTTCAAATACTAACTCGATCAGAAGTTCGATGCAGATTTATCAGACAATCAAACAATTAAACTTAAAGCGAACCCGAAGTTTGCTAAACTAAGTCACCAAATTTGAGCTTGTCTTAAGATGAGCTCACAATATTCAAACTCAAGTTATCACTGTATTAACAAATTTGAGCATGCTATACCTGTTTATCGACTTAGAATGACTCATAGTTGATTCCTATTCAAAAGCCTTTAGACGTACTGAAATAAGTTTCTCTACTTCTCTAATTGTTGTGCATCTTAAAACTTTTGTCTGATTTGAAATTTAATATAATACCTGTTCTCTAGTATAAAAGAAGCTCATAAAAATAAATTTAGCATATCAAATAAAAATTTGACCAAAATATACCCATTAATATATGAAATAAAAAAATCTTCATGCTTAGAAACAATGATTGTCAACATTGTTGGATTGCTAATGAGATTCAATACATGAGTTAGCATATACACTGATATTTACTACTTAATCTGTTAACAATTAATGTTTACTCTGAAGTTGCCTACTGTAGAATTGGAGGCGAAGGCGACGAAGCTCGGGAAAATTGTAGAGAAAACATTTTGGATGTTTCACGGACGACCGCGAGTGGCGCTACGGTCGACCGTGAACGTGCACATAGCCTGGAAAAGTCTCTGGACTTTTCACGGTCGACCGCAAATGGATTCACGGTCGACCGCGATACCCTTTAGTGCATTTTTTATTCTCTGTCGTTGGCCACGGTCGACCGTGACTGGCTCGCCGGTCGACCGCGATGCGGTTTTGGACCTGGGCTTGGTTTTCGGTTCTGTTTGGGTTTCATGTTCATATAAATAGGAACACGATTTGTTTAGGGTTTATTGGATCATATCGATCACTTTTGGGGTAGCTTGAAGGAGATTTTGAGCACAGAAAAGAGAATTTTTTTCTGAGCAATTTGTTTGAGGGTTTAGTTTGTGAGATTTGAGAGATTTGTTTGAGAGGTTAGTTGAGTGATCTTGTAATCTCTATTTTGTACTCTCTTTCTCTATAGTAAAAACACATTCCTTTCTTGCTCCGTGGATGTAGGTAATTTGCCGAACCACGTAAAAGTTGGTTGTTTGAGTTTGTGCCATTATTTTGGATTGTTTTTGGCTTTCTCTCTCGGTGTTTGAGTTTGTTCCGCCGTGCACAACAAGTGGTATCAGAGCTCGGGCTACGCTTGGGCTATTTGAAGGAGTAGATCGTTTTGGAGGCTCGTCTAGGGCTTCGTTTGGAGATAAAGGTGGGATCTATTTGGAGGAGTAGATCGTTTTGGAGGCTCGTCTAGGGCTTCATTTGGAGATAAAGGTGGGATCTTTTTGGTAAAAATTCTATCTTTTTTTCAATTTTTGGATCTATTCTTTAGTTTGTTCCGTATTGGTTGTTGGTGTGTTGAGGAAGATGACTGGAAAAGAAGGTACTTCGGGTGTTGAGGGTGATGCTTCTAGCGTGAAGATCATTCAAAATTTAAATATCCACTCTACGAAGATAGATATGGAGAAGTTTAATAGCACGAATAATTTTGGATTATAGAGATGTGAGGTTTTGGATGCGCTGAACGTGCAAAATTTAGAGGATACTTTGGAATTGGATGGCAAGCCAGATGATATTGAAGAGAATGTTTGGAAGAAGATGAATCAGACAATGTGTGGTGTTATTAGGTCTTGTTTAACACAAGATTTAAAGTATGATGTGATGAATGAGACTTCAACTAAGAAGATTTGGGAGACCCATGAGAGCAAGTATTTGACCAAGAGTGTGAAAAATCACTTGCATTTAAAGAGGAGGCTTTATCGCTTCTAATTGAAAAAAGGAACATCCATTGACGATCACATGAACCACTACACGAATCTTCTTGTGGATTTGGCGAATGTAGATGTTATGATTGAAGATGAGGACAATGCATTGTTGTTGTTGAGTTCCTCACCTGACGAGGAATATGAGACCTTTGTCCTTATTCTTATTAATGGGAATGTATCTCTTTCTTATAGTGAGGTCACCGCTATACTTATGAATCATCAACTTCGAAATAAAAATAATGAGTCTATAAGTACAACAACAGCAGAGGCATTGATCGCAAGAGGGAAGAATCCAAATCGAAAGAATTAGAAGTCACAATCTAGAGTAGGGCATCCTACAGTTAATAAAGATTAGTGTGCTTGGTGCAAGAAGACTGGTCATTAGAAGAAAGATTGTCCAAAGCTCGACGAATGGATGAAGAATAAGCAGAAGGGAAAAGAAAAGCAACTATCATCAGAAGCAAACATTATTATATCGTATGGTAATCTTTCTGACTCATCTGTTTATTCGCTTTCTATCAGTCACATAGGTCGCTATTCGGAGGAATCAGAGAGGATGTTGGATAGTGGTGAAACCTATCATATGTGCCCTAGAAGGAAATAATTTTCTAGTTTTAAGAAGCTGGAAAGTGGTGTGGTGTACATGGGTGACAATCGTGCATGTCAGATCCTTAGGATAGGAAGAATTCACATCAATATGTATGACGGGATAGTTAGAGAGTTACATAGTGTGAGATATGTTTCTTCTTTGAGGAAGAACTTGATCTCGATTAGAGCTTTGGTTGGAGAGGGTTTTAGAGTTCGTATTGAGGACATGATTCTCAAGATCGTGGAAGACTCTTTGATTGTGATGAAGGACGTTAGGAGGAATAACTTGTACTATTTGATTGGAAGTTCGGTGACAGGTGGATAGCTGACGACTTCTGTTAATTCGACTAGACTGCGGCATTTAAGGCTTGGTCATTCCACTATTGATTTGGAAAAAGGTGCATCGACCTACAATTTGAAGTCCAGTGAACATTTTAATGTGAGCAAGAATACCAAGGTAAAGTTTGGCACCTCTATTCACCGCACTGAGGGTCTTCCAAATGGAGTTCATGTGGATGTTTGGGGCCCTTCCAAGAAGGTATCAATGAGAGGTAATAAATGTTTGGTTTTATTTGTTGGTGGTTGTTCTAGGCATGCTTGGGTTGCAACCAAATCCTGATTGGATAAAGTCCTAGTAGTCTCCAACAGATTAAAGAAATGTGAGATTGATAGAAAGGTGAAGGTACTTCATTCTGATTTTGGTGGGAGGTACAAGAGGGACATGTTTCTGCATTTGAGGCAAGCTCACTGTATTTCGAGACACTTCGTTAGAAAGGAAATCTTGGGGCAACTAGATGGGGGTGACATATTTGGAGAACCATGCCTTGCTGGAGGAGGATCGATGTTTTTGGTCAAGCAATAGTTTGCAGAAGAGTTTCTGGACTGAGACTTCGACATATTCAAGTCACCTTATTAAAGGGTTGTCGACTGCTGCGATTAGAGGTAAACCTCCATTGGATGTTTGGTCTGGTAATGTCACTTCGGTTGAGGCTTCGATAAGGGAGCTAATTGGCTCTCAGCAGGTGGAGAGTTTTGGACAGACCTTAGATGTATCGTAATGGGTGGAGAGTGATGCTACTCCATATCGGGTGGAGATTACTCCACAGACTCCAGATCATATTGCATCGTTTGAGATTCCAGCTGAGGTGACACGGTTAGGGGATTATTTGGATTTGGGTACAGATGATGAGTTGGTTGATTCGAATGCAGGTGGTGGATATAATTTGGATACGGCCATTGATTCACCTTAGGTGGAGGTGTTTGATTTGTTTTACTTTGGGGCCATTTGGAGAGCTATCAGCCTCATATTTGTTGGTGAAGATTTGAGAACTTTTTTATTTGATTGAGAGCCTTTGGAGGTCATTTGGGGAACTACGTGAAGGCTTGATTCCTTAGGCAAGAGGATACGCAGACAGTTAGTTTTGATGCAGCCGATTTGATGGGTTGATACCAACGTTTTGGAGTTTGTTCGCATTCTCATTTGAGTCTTGACTTGTTGTGGATGAAGTCCGTTATCATGATTTTGTTTCACTTTGTACTTGACGTAACAAGTGAGATATTTGATTTGGTTGGTGTCGGCTCAGTTTTGGGAAAACTTCACCGAGATGGAGAATTGTAGAATTGGAGGCAAAGGCGACGAAGCTCGGGAAAATTGAAGAGAAAACATTTTGGATGTTTCACGGTCGACCCTGAGTGGC